GCTGAAGCCGAGTCCCCTGTCCTTACTCAGATACTCCTCCCTGGGGGATGGGTGAAAGCAAACTTTTCAGTTCCGAGTAGTGGCTGTGGTAGCCAGACATGGGCTGCACACCTGCAGTCCTGGCTACTCGAGAGGCTGAGACAGGAATCCAACGTTTGAACACAGCCGAGGCAACTTTGAGAGGCCTGTTTCAAAATAAATAATCGGTCTGGGAATATAGGCCAGTCATAGAGCACTGGCCCAGCACGTGCAAGGCCCTGGCCTCCGCACTCAGTTCAGAAACGAATCTGTCACCCTCTGCCTAGCCGGCCTCCTCCTCACACTGTGCTGTTGTCTTCCCTGAGCTGTCTCTCTCACTCTATATGTGTCTTATTTATGCGGTGTCCTGTCTGTCTCTGCACTGGCATGGACCGCGTCCTGGTCACCACTCCATCCCCAGCATTTCACCCTTAATAGGTGCCTAGGACAGGATTAAACAAGCGTTGCACAGACCCCTGTAATCCATGAACCACAGTATCCCCAGTCGAGGGCACCTGGCTCGGCGTTTGTCACACACTGGTACATCCCTGGGAGAGACAGGTCGTCTCTTCATTTTACAGACCAGGAATGGGGAGCCATGTGTAATGGGTATGGGGTCAACTGACCTCTAGACCTCCGGCCTGCCTCCTTCCGTCCCCTCCCCTCTCTTCCTCCATCCCTCCCTCCCTCCCTCCCTCTCTCTCTTCTCTCTTTTTCTTTCATTCTTTCTTTCATAGGGCAAGGTCTCACTTTGTAGCCAAGGCTGTCCTGGAACTCATTATATTGCTCAAGCTCACCTCAGACTCACAGCAATCCCCTTGCCTCATTCTCCCTAAGGCTGGGATTACAGATAGGGGCCACCATCATGCCTTGCTTTATAATTTGTGGGGGGGGGGGGAGGAGAGACTAGGGATTATGTCATCTAGGGTCATATAGGTAGAATGCTAATTCCTAATTTCTACCCCTGTGCTATAAGCTCATTTTGGGGGTGGGGAAGGGGGAATTATTTTTAGAGTGATATAAGAATAAAATAAGTTGTAGTTTCAGGTACAGGACTTGAATGTACAAATGTTGAAATTTACACCCTGGGCAGACGAATTGTATGATGTGTAAATAACATCTCAGCAAAACTAGTTGGGGCTGAGGAATTGCAGCTTGGCTTTATCTGCTAAGCACATGGTGTCACATCTTTGAGCCTCTGTTTCCCAAACCAGTAAAACAGAGGGGAGAAAGGATGTTTCATTGTATTTCTGTGAGATTAAATGAGATAATATACAGCAGTACTCCCGTTTTCATTAAGGAGAAAGCATAGGACCGAAGAAAGACATGACTTAATGCAGATAGAACAGCTGGTGGTCACAGGAAAACCCGAATCTCTTGGAAGTACCTTGTCATGTAGCACTGTCAAAGCTTACCAGCCCCTCCCATCTCCCACCGCTCAGTAATGTCTCCTTGCTGCAGATAGGCTCTGGGGTTCCATCTCCCTGCTGCCCATGCTCAGAACATATGGGGACAGTGTGGACCCTCCAGAGCCCAGGGTGTCCTTCCCTCAGCACCCTATGCCCCCCTCTGGGACCACAACTCGGTCTTGCCTTTGCTTGTAATAAAGAAAATATCTCAGCTACCCTTCCCTGGTTGCTTGGCAACCCCAAGGGGGAATGGGGGGTGGGCTCTGGAGCCAATCTGGAGACAAAGAGTAGGATTTGGGTGACATGGAGCCTGTTCTTAGTGCTAACCTGGCCTGGCTGGGGCGGTGGGTGGGGGCAGGGGCTTTCTCCCACCCCAGTGTCTCACACCAATAAATATGGATTAGGGAAATGGGCAGAATTTTTCTCACGGGCCTGAAAGGGCATGTCTGACCTTTCTACCCCCTTTATGTACCAATGTGACAGTCAGAGAGAGGAAAGAGCAGGACCCCCTGAGATACCTCCCCCATGGCCTTCTGACTTGGCGAAACTTTTCACCCTGTTTCCCTTGGCCACAGACCAGGTCTCAACTCCTCCTGGACCCCTGGCCCAGGGCTGAGGGGGACGCTCATTTTCAAGGGAGTATTCCAGCATCAGTGTCTTAGCACAAAACAAAGCGGGGAGGTTCTGGACCAGCCCTCCCTGCCACCAGGCCTGACCCAGCCCTCTGCCCAGTGGCTCCTCATTCTGCCTGTGCATGCCCAGGGCCTCCTCAGAGGCTCGATTTCCCATCCGTGTCTGTGTGTTCCTCTTCTTTTTCAATCTCTTTTCTGTATTCTCCTTCACCTTCCTCTGTCTGGCCCTTTCTCCCTCTCTTCTCTTTCCAGTGCCCCAGGAAACTGGGGGGCCCTTGTGGCTCCTGTGCCATGTTCTCATGTTCACCCAACAAGGAAAGAAGGGAGGCTGGTCGGTGATCTCGCCCCCTGGTGCATTGGTTCCTTGGCTGCTGGCCTGGGGTGGGATGGGCCACTCTGAATGGAACCAGTGTGGAGACAGGAAAAGCAAACACCTCCATGTGGGCCTCCCTGGCCTTGGGGTGGGGGTGGGGCAGGGGTCCGGGTCAGATCAACCTCTCTATTAGCCTCTGCTGGCTCTTCTGGACCCCTAGCTTTTCCGACCCTCATCCCACAATGTCCAGAGAAAAATGAGCTGAGTGTCAGATCAAGCCCTCTGGGAGATACCTTTGCTTATGATCTTTCCTTGCTCTTCCCAACCCCCAGGCCGTGCCCTTCCTGCCTGGAGATGCCAGGAAAGTCTGGGCCTGGGATGGGCTGGCTGGCCAACCCTCCAAAATAAGAGCTGGGCGGGCAGTCATCTTGTACCTAAGCACCCAGAAGTTCCATCCACCTCCAGGCTGAGGGGGACCCCAAAGACGCTCGCCTGGTGAGTGCTCCTCTATTCTGAAGCCAGGCAGGGAGGGGAAGGCTGTTGTTCCTAGGGCTCCTTAGGGCCTCCATAAACTCTTGTGCCTCCAAGAGCTGTGGTGCTTTCTGTTTGGATGGTGTCTGTCACTGTCTGTGACTGATGTGTGTCAGTGGTGGTTTGGGAGAGATGTGGAAGGGACAGGATAGTAACTGGAGAAACTGAAGAAACTTCATTCTGGGAATGAAGTGGGGAGGAGGGGATGGAGGTGGGTTGGAGGACCCCAGATTCCAAGCCAACTTTTTTTTTTTTTAGATAGAAAATCACCATGTTTCCTAAGCTAGCTAGCCTCAAACTCAGTCTCAGGTACCTGCCATCATACTTCCCAAAGCCACTTTTTGAGACAGGATCTCACAACATGACCTCGGCTTGCCTAGAGTTTGCTATGTAGACCAAGCTGGCTTGGAACTTACAGAAATCCGTCCACTTCTGCCTCCCAAGTACTGGGATTAAAGACATGCACTGCTGCACCCAGCCTCCTGTTCTGTTTGACTGGCATAATAACAGAATCACACTTAATATTCTAAAAGTAGCTGAGATATGGTGGTCCATGCCTATAATCCCAGCATTTGAGAAGTGGAGACAGGAAGAAGAGTTTAAGGCCAGCCTTGGCTATATAAGGTACTTAAGGCTAAACTGCTAAACTGGCTACATCAGATCCTGTCCATAGAAAGATGGATGGATGGATGGATAGATAGACAGACAGACAGACGGGCAGATAAAAAATAGCTGCAGAATGAGTTCAGAATTGGGCGGCTGTTCCTTCCAGGTGAGTGGCAGTCAGCGGGACTAAAGGTCAGGTGTGTGTGTGGGGGGGGGTCACTCCGTCACCTCTCTTTCCCTGTCCACCTACATAGCTCGGTTCCTTTGGATTTAAGTCAGGTAAGGGGGAGGAGAAGTGGAGTCTGGACAATACTTCAGACCTCTTTCCTTCTGTCAGGGCTCCAGACAACCCCTCTGGTGTCAGGGTCACTGCGGTTTCCTGACTCCCCCGGAAGTCACAGCTAGTCTTTGTGTACAGGGACCCCTTTGGTCTTGGTGTCCAACCATAACCCTCATGTTGTATTCAAAGCCAACCACTTCACAGAAAGGAAAGCTAATGACATGTCCTGATGTCCCAGTGGTGCCCCTGTGAGGTGAGATGTGCTGGCCCTTGGGTCCTGGCCTGGAGGGGTCCCTCTACTGCTTCAGGCGCTGTTCTGAGACCATCACTGAAGTTCACCAAATGGCACCACACAGACCCACAGCCTAAAGCTGGTGCCACAAACCTTTAAGTGACCCCTCATGTTGCCTCTACGTCCTAGCCTCCACAGGGGTGGGGGACGGGGAGTGGGGTATATATGTGTCATTGTGTCCAGTCCCCTGCATCTGGGGGTCCACCCAGGCCAACCTCTGCTCATAGATAAGAATCAATCCAGATTTTTTAAAGGCACCTGCTCTGGGGGTGGATTCCCCCTGGGGATAATCAAATATTTATTTATTCATGGCCTTCTGTTGGGAGGGGAGGCCCTTCCACCCCAGCTCAGCAGAGGCCAGCTGCCTCCTCGCTCCTTCCCACTGGGGCAGTCAGGAGCGAAGTGGCCTGTCCCTGGGCAAGTCACCCCACTTCTTTTAGCCTCAGTTTACCAACTTTAAAGCAAGATTAACGACAAACCTGCTTTGTGAGGTTGATTGGGGTTTAACTGATCAAAGGGGTTGAGATCCAGAAAGGGTTTAGTAAGCGGGCAGTTGGCCCCTGGGAAGTGCCAGCCAGCGGGTAGCAGGGACATGCTTCCTCTCTCCACCACCGACGACATCTTTGCAGACTGGATCTCACTGTGTTACCCAGGCTGATCCCTGACTCCTGAAGCTCAGCGGCGCCTGTAGTCCCAGCCTTCAGGAGATGGGCCTCCTGCAGGCGTGCGTCTCCAACCTGGCCACTGTCCTTATTGAAACCCTCCTGCCACAAGGACAGAGCCTTCTGCTTTCAGAGTTGTTGTTTATTTGGCGTCTTTGTTACAGATGGGGAAACTGAGGCCTGGAGTGGGGAAGGACCTATTCAGGGTCACTTAACAGAGTCATGGGAGAGTAAGGAGTGACTCTCAAAGCTCCTTCATTCCTAGTTGGACTCTGTCTTCCATCCCCCTGCCTCAGGTTCTCCCCAGGTGTGTCCTGGCGCAGCGTGGGCCTGGGCAGAACCTGGGAGAGAAATGAACAGAACCTGGCCGTGGAATAGGCTCCGAGGAGGCCAGAGCGTTCTCAGCCTCAGCCCTTTGTCTGCGGCTTTGTGATGGTAAGTGCTGCTCCTAAATCAGGTCTGTGACACTGTTATTGTTGCCCAGGGCGCAAAGAGTCTAAACTTTTCCCCTGAGGTCAAGAATGTGGCCAGTCCCCAAGCCGCCCAGAGCAAGGCCTGGGTGGCTGGGGGTGGGGCTGGGGCCTCACCCTGAGCCGGGGCGAGATGTGTGGAGGGGAGGGGGTCAGGAGGAACAAAACGCTTTGAAATGCCTCCTCTCCATCACTGCCAACATTGTCCGCTGCCCGCGGGGGGCCTGGCACCGCCTCGCCTGCCGGGGCTCCGGCCCCCAGCCCTGGCCAGGCCTGGCCCAGCCTCTGAAAATGGACAGAAGGTTATTGTCCCTTCCCACAGCCCTTTGTCTGCCCCAGTTCCAGATGTCTAGGCTGGGACCAGGGAACTGACCCATGGTGGGCAGGGAGGAGGGGACAAAAGGGGAGAACACGGGTCACTGCATCCTGAGGAGTCGTTCCCAGACCCTGAGATCCCACCCAGCCACAGCCATGTCACCTTCTGGGCCAGTTTAGCTTTGGGATTGTCCCTATTCCTTGGCCCTCTCCCCAGACCAGGTTCCGGGCCCTGGAGAAAAGGCACAGGGGTGTAGAGTTAGAACAGGAGGCCTTGGGATCCCCAAGGCAGGCCGAACCCCTCTACCCAGGTAACTGCGGTGACCTTGAGCCTGCTTTCCCTGTGGAGGGGGCTCCTGAGCCAGTAATGACAGAGCTCTACCTACCAGCGCCACTCTGAGCCTGGAGGCGCCCATGGTGGAAGGTCTCTCTGGCCCTTACTGATTGTGGTCAATAGTCACACTGGCCAGATGGGACATTTCACGCCGATCCTCAGTTGGGTTGTGGGCAGACCGCTTCACCTGCATTGTCAAAACCAAGGGCAATTAATCTTGTCTCCATTTTCCAGCTCCGGAGACAGAAAGGCTGAGAGGTAGTCACTGAGCCCAAGCCAGGCAGCCAGGAGGCAGCAAGGCTGGGATCCTTGCCCAGGCCAACCGCAGCCACCAGGAGGAGTAATCGCTAATAAATACTTGGAAGGTGCTTGGCCCAACTCTTCATCTGGGACTGGTGGTGTTAACTCCATCCGCTGGTTTTCCCGGTTCACAGATGGGGCTCCCAAGCCCAGACCTAGGGAAAAGGGCTCAGGGGGCCCTAAATAGCAGCTCAGAGGGCCGTTCTAGAGCCTCTGAATGGGCTGAGCAGCAGCCGACCGACCAGCTCTTGGTGACTGAGACTCTTCACACCTTGGGTTTCCTCTTCTCTCTTCAGTAAATACTCCCCCATGCCACAAAGTTGTCAAAAGAAAGTCAAATGAGTTGTTAAGGCATTTAATTAAACTCCTGGTGGCTTTAAGGCTAACAGGAGGATAGCTATTATTATAATTATTCTCAGTGGGGATTGGTAACATTTGAACCTCACTTGGATTCACCTGGGGACGAAGCTCTGTGTGGAGGGACATGCTAGTTGTTGAGGGGGTTGAGGACAGCCATACTTAGCCTTCTTGGGATCTCTAGAAATCTCTGCTAAGTCTGCGGAATGCAGAAAGCTGGGAGGCAGACGCTGCTGCTGCTGCTGCCCGAACCCGAGGAGTTAACCACTCCCAGGCCCTGGCCAGGAGGGCTGCCACGCTGCAACCTAGAAACGATTTTAGCAGAAGAGCCAGGGCTACTTCTGATGGGCAAAACAGCTGGCTGCTTAGGGAAAACAGCTGGCCTAGTCCCAGCCTCCTAAGAGCAGAGGCAGAGCCTCGGAGGACAGACCCACATCTGGGGGTCCTCAAAGAGGAGGCATAGTCAAGGACAGGGTGGTTCTTCGGAGCATGTGGGTGTTGGGTGGCTACCCTGGAGACGAGAGGGGTGTGGACCAATTTCTAGAGCAGAAGCCAGAGTATGCTAAGTTTAAACAGACCAGGCAAGAGTGTCTCCAGTTGGGATCCGGGGTCTCAATCGTCCCTCAAATAGGACAGATGAAGGACAGAGGAGCCTAAGGTGGACAAGTCTCTGCTCTACCCTGGGTCATCTTGGAACTAGGCTTGGAACCAGAGGTGGGAATGGTACCCAGGCTGGTCTCTTGGTCTGTTCAACTGCACCCAGAACCAAGAACAGGGTGAAGGCTCATCCTCTGGCCAGGATCGTGGGCTTCTGTGACCACAGAGCAGGACAGGGGCCCAGAGAGCCTCCAACCCAAGAGCCGGGAAGCTGACAGCTGGTAAGAGCTCCATCCAAGCATCCTCCCTGCTTCGAGTGCCCATCCCCACCTACCTGACAGCCAGGCTGTGAGAACTTCCAGCCTAGAGCTCTGATGAAGCCCTAAGCCCTGGCTACCCCTACCCTTGGCAGGGAAGTAGTGCCCGGGACCAGGATAGACAGTTGATCAGGATAGGCGGAGGGTTATAATGGCATGTGTCAGGACTCCATCTGAGCTATTTACTTCCAAGTCCCAGAGGCCTGACACCCCTAACTCTTCTGTGAGCAGGGGTATCTCCTCTAGCTCACCTCCCGAACCTCCAGAGTTAACCCCTTCCAATCTGAATGTATCAGCTTTTGGCTGGTACGTTTTTTCTGGTATCATCTTTTCTCCCTGGTAAAGGACATGCCCATGAGCACCAAGCCTTAGGTTCCCAGTGGGATGGGGACCTTGGGGGAAGGGGACAATTCTTCCAGGGTCTCCAGTTCAGGATATCCATCTGGAGCCCTGGGGTACTGGCGCCACCACATGGTTTTGTGCAGAACTACAGTGGCTGAGGGGCACAAGAATACTGAGGGGCAGACACCCTGAGAGCATCAGTTGCTCAACCAGCGGGGCTCCAGGAGTGACGGCTTGCCAGGCAAGTTAACCTGACATAACCCAGAACGTCAGGGCTCAGCCTGAGCCGGAATTACCTGGAACTTTAAAACAGATGGCATGTGGGGAGAGGGTACAGGTCAGTGATAGAATCTAGCATGGATCTCTGGGTTTGATCCCCAGAACCCTAAGAAAAAAGCCAGTTATGGTAGTAAAAATCTGTAATTCCAGAACTCACGAGTCTAAGGCAGAAGGGTAAGGAGCTCCTGGCCATTCTAGAGTACACAGTGGGACTGTCTCCAACAAGGAGGGAAAAAATTAAATAGGAAACTGTTCATTTAATTCCACACCAGACTTTCAGACATCCTAGGTGTGGAGATGGGGTTGATGTTTGCTTTTTTTTTTTTTTTTTTTTTTTTAAATAAGGTAGGGTCTTGTTATGAGGACTGGAAAGGACATGCTGTGTAGCCCATGCTGACCTAAGACGCTCGGGCCTCCTGCTTAACTTGAGAGGGCCAAGATTACAGCCCTGCACCACAAATCCTAGCTTTTGTGTTTTGATGGAAGAGAGGGGAATGGATGGCTGAGACAGGATCTTATTACATAGCCTCAACTAGCCTTGAATCTGTGACAGTCTTGCTTCATTAAGCCTCCTGAGTGCTGGGATTACAGGCCTGGGCTGTCCTGCCTGGCTGACATTTGCACAGGCCTGAGCTACTTGTCTATGGACCTGGCTTTGATGAGCACTGTAACTTCAGAACCTCTGTGAACCTAGCCCATGCCACTTTTCAGAATACATCTCATAGCTGAGCATGGTGGCACACGACTTTAATCCCAGCACTCAGGAGGCACAGGCAAGTTGATCTCTGAATTTAAGGCCAGCTGGTCTACAAATTGAGTTCCAGGACAGCCAGGACTGTGACACAGAGAAACCTTGTCTTGAAAAATAAAAACAAACAAAAAACTCAAACAAACAAAACAACAAGAATATGTCTCATAGCTGGGTATGGACACAGGCCTTTAATCCCAGTATTTGGAGGCAGAAGCAGGTGAATCTCTGGGAATTCAAGGCCAGCCAGGTCTACATGGTGAGTTCTAGGCCACCCAGAGTTATACAATGAGACCCTGCCTCAACCTCTCCTCACCAAAATAATATATCTCATGATCATTTTAGGGTCCAATAAAGTGCAAATGGGTGGATTGACACTTGGTGACCTCAAAATAAGGTCAGAAGTATGCCCAGTTTTCATATTTGGCCTGTTTTTTCTTCAGTCTTCCCTATTCAGTACCTAGTCTGCCCCATCCAAGCCCATTGCAGAACTATCCTTGTTCCTCAGTCTCCCACGTCCAACCCATAAGGCCCGTGGGATTCGCCCTATCTCACCAGACTCATTTCTCCCTGTACTAGGAACCCCATGTCTGCCTTCTAAGCTGCAGCCAGAGCAAAGGAATTTTGTTGCTGGTTTTTTCTTTTTTTGGGGGGGGGGTTGGTTTGTCAAGACAGGATTTCTCTGTATATCCCTGGATGTCCTAGAACTCACTCTGTAGGCCAGGCTGGCCTGGAACTCACAGAGATTGCCTGCCTCTGCCACCCAAGTGCTGGGATTATTATTTTGGGGGTGGGGGTTGGGTTTCAAGACAGGGTTTCTCTGTGTAGCTTTGGAGCAAGTGCTTTGTTTGTCTGTTTTGTTTTGTTGTTTTGGTTTTTTTTTTTTTTTTTTTTAAAGATTTATTTATTTATTATGTATACAGCATGTATGACTGCAGGCCAGAAGAGGGCACCAGATCTCATTACAGATGGTTGTGAGCCACCATGTGGTTGCTGGGAATTGAATTTAGGACCTCTGGAAGAGCAGTCAGTGCTCTTAACCTCTGAGCCATCTCTCCAGCCTCCTGTTTTGGGTTTTTGTTTGTTTTTTGTTTTTTGAGACAGGATTTTTTTTTGTGTGTAGCTTTGGCTAGGAACTAGACCAGGCTGGTCTTGAACTCACAGAGATTCACCTGCCTCTGCTCCAGAGTGCTGGGATTAAAGGTGTGCACCACCACACCCAGTTTAGAGCAGTCTTTTATTTTATTTTATTTGGTTTTTTCAAATTTCTCCGTGTAGCTTTGTGTCTTTCCTGGAACTCACTTGGTAGACCAGGCTGGCCTCAAACTCACAGAGATCTGCCTGGCTCTGCCTCCGAGTGCTGGGATTAAAGGCATGTGCCACCACCGCCCTGGCTTCCATAATGTTTTAATAGGTTTTCAGCTTATTAAAAAAGCCAGACATGATGGCACACACATTTGATCCCAGCACTAGAGGGATCAAAGCAGGCAGGTCTCTGAGTTCAAGGCCAGCCTGGTCTACATTGTGAGTTCCAGGCCAGCCAGGGCTGTTTAGTGAGACCCTGTCTCAAAAAAAATAAAAGCCAGAATCCAGAATCCTGCCACACTTCTTGCTGGCTCTGGCTGAGTAGGCTGTGCCTGTCTGTCTGACTTCCTCCTTTTCTCACACTGCTTCCTCCCTTAGCTTTGGCCATGTTGACTCTCTTGCCTGTTCCATCTCAGGACCATCTCAGGACCTTTCACCCACCCATTGCTGCATCTGGTACACCATATCCTCAGATGTCCCCTATTCCCAGCTCAACCTTACTTGACTTCATTTGTTTAAAGTATTCACCACACCTTGAAATTACACACTGGTGGGGTTGTCTGTTTTCTTCCTTCTGCTCACTAGCACCTGAGGGCCTCTGCATCTGTATATCCACAAGACTTAGAGTGGCCTCTTAGGATCCTGTGTTCGTCAAGTACCTTCTGCCTGGGTGGGCTCACATAGGATGCTGTTTGGAGATGCACTGCCCAGATACGGGTATCAGGGACAGACAGCTTTTCAGGGAGGGAACTCGAACTGGAGACTTCAGCTGTTCAGGAAGAGGAAGACACGTCTAGGCAGAGGGACCAGGAAAGCAGTAAGGAAAACGGTGGACAGAAGTTCCAGAGCACGGAGGTTTCTGGGAACTGTAGAGTGTCCGGTTTGGGTGGGGCAGAAGATGGGGAGCAGGTGGAGAGCACAGGCGTTGAACTCACAGGCAGGCAGCACAGGGCTGCCATCTCTGCTGAGGGCAGTGCCAAGGAGCGGATTTGGTTTTCCCATGCTCTAACTCACACCCAGAGCCTCACAAGCAAGGCAAACTATTCGTCCAGCCATTGGTTTGGGAGTTTTTTTGTTTTTTTTTTTTTTTTTTTTT